CCCATCGTTGGTGTCAGTGGGAGGAATAGTGCCCATCGTTGGTGTCAGTGGGAGGAATAGTGCCCCATCGTTGGGTGTCTGTGGAGGAATAGTGCCCCATCGTTGGTGTCAGTGGGGAATAGTGCCCCATCGTTGGTGTCAGTGGGAGGAATAGTGCCCCATCGTTGGTGTCAGTGGGAGGAATAGTGCCCCATCGTTGGTGTCAGTGGGAGGAATAGCGCCCATCGTTGGTGTCCGTGGGAGGAATAGCGCCCCACCGTTGGTGTCCGTGGGAGGAATGGCACCCCACCGTTGGTGTCAGTGGGAGGAGCTCTAATAGGAAGAGGTGGAGCTTAAAGAGGAAGGGGTAGAGTTTACAGGTGAAGGGTGGATCTTAAGCAGGAATCATTTCCCTTGGTTAACTGTGTCCAAAACGAGAGAATGGACTTGAAAAAGGAAAAATGAAATAGAGAGGAGTGAGAATAGAGATAGGTGCAGAAAGGGAAGAAGTGAAGGACGCTTGGTGGAGGAGGATCCGGCTAGGTGCGGGGATTAAGACCATCACTGTTTATCAATTTCCCATATCGACCACCATCAATCCTAGGACGATGCTGAGAGATATTGCATCCAAGGATCCCAGGTTTTTTCAAAGTATGCCATCCTGTCCTGAAGAATAGCGGTCAAACGTGAGCCCGTCATGGCCCTTGGTTCACTGTGTCCAAAACCAGAGAACGGACTTGAAAAGGAAAAAAGGAAAAGAGAAATTGAGACAAGTGAGAATAGAGATAGGGGAAGAAAAGGAAGAAGTGAAGGACGCTTGGTGGAGGAAGATCCGGCTAGTAGTCGGGTGCGGGGATTAAGACGATCACTGTTTATCAATTTCCCATATCGACCACCATCAATCCTAGGACGATGCTGAAAGATATTGCATCCAAGGATCCCAGGTTTTTTCAAAGTATGCCATCCTGTCCTGAAGAATAGCGGTCAAATGTTCGTTGACCATTATCCAGGTCAGCTTAGCCTTCAGGAGATCAAGGGGGACCACCAAGAGCGTGCAGTGGATATCCTGGCAGCAGTAAATATAAATGTGATCAGGCATTTCACATATCCGGGTACGCCCTCTACCGGCTTCCCAAGGAGATCCTGGAGCAGTGATTTGATAAGATTAACCTGAGTCAGTGAGTATATAAAATTATACGTGCGAATCCAAAATCGCTTTACTTTGCTACAGGTCCACCACATATGGAGGACTGCGCCCTCCTGTCCACAACCACGGAAACAACCGGAGGAGGCCCCCGGAACAAAGGAAGCCAAGCGGGAGGGCACCAAATACCACCGCATGAAGACCTTATAACTAGCTTCAATCAATGAAGTGTTGGATTAAATTTTTAGAGTTGAGCTGCGCCAGTTTATTCCACTCAGCCACTTCCATAACTTCCCCCAGGTCTCCTTCCCACCTCTCCAGGGCAACTTGGAGGAGGCCATTTGCAGGATAGCGTAGATCATGGAGGCAGCCGGGTTTCCTGTACTACGAGCATGCTCCTTGCACATTGATGAGCTGTCAAAGATGGCTCCCATTCTCTAGTAATGATTGGGAATGGGGGGAATTGGCTTCTGGTTATGTGATCACTGTAAAAAGCCAATAACATTGCTCTCATGATCGGGCCGTCCTTCCCGCCCCCCAGGCAAATTAACGCAGTTAAAGAGATGACGGAGCTTGGTGGAGTGGGGTTAACAAAGCTTTCCTAACCCTCACCCAATGTTGTGTCAATGATGGATTCCCTGCCCCGGTCAAGTAAACAGTGTCACGTTGGTGGAGATGTCCCCACATGTCCTCACCCCACGGAGAGACAATATGAAAGCTCTGAATCACACCATCCTCTCTGCTCCCTGCTCAGAGCTGACTCATTTCTGTTTTTTGTTTGGCAGTTCTCCCATTTTTGGCTTCATATCAAAGCCCAACTCCAGGCAAAGCTTATTGTGTCACTTTTGATATCACGGGGAAGAGTTGGAGACCTGGTCTGGGTCTCTAAAAACTCTCTCGGTGTGTAGGCCCATTGGGCTGAGACCTGGGAGCTCCCTCATTTACTTGGTGGCTGGGCAGCTGTACAATTCCTAATTTTTACCGTTAAAGGGGTTAATGCTGAGGGATTGGTCACTGACTTCGAGTGTCATGACCACCATGCGACCTTAAGTCTTTTCCTGCTGCCTGACTACAGTGATTTTGGTCCTCTGCAGTAATCTTACCCGCATTTGGTGTTGGGTTTTGTGAGCACCTGAGGCCTTGCCTCTTACTGTGAGCTTTAAATTACCTAACCACCCAAGATTGCTACGTGTCTGACTCTAGACATGGCGGGAAAGGTGCTGGCCACTCATACTCTGACAGCTCCCATTGATGTGGCAGATGTTTGCAGTCTGGAGTTATGTTGCCCTCGGAACCTAGAGTCTATTGCCTTCTTCAGAGCGAGAGATACTCCTATCACAGTAAATAGCAGCCAGGTGTAACTTTTGGCGGCCCCCTTCTCTTAAGGTTTGTAGGCCTATCGTTACTAGGTTGCTTCCAGGGCTTAATACACGAACCTATATACTCTGGCAGTAGAATGTCACTAGTGGACCCAAGGTGGAAGAGAGTAGACTTGTTGTACTGCAATGGAAGAAACCAGATAAAATCAATCTGGAGAAGTCAGGACTTGAGGCTCGCACTGGGCATAATCTGTGGAAGTAGCAAAGACCAGGGTAGGTGGCAGATAGTAGAGCGATCGGGTGAAGTAGCAAAGGTCCGGACAGGCAGCAGACAGGAGAGGTATCTATATAATATAGTGAAGGTCAGTTCAGGGAGCCAACAGGGAAGTATCCATTAAACCTAACTGAGGTGAGGGCAGGCTGCAGACAAGAGAAGTATCCACTAAACATAGCTAAAGTAAGGGTGGGCAGCAGACAGGAGGAGTATGCATTAAGCTTCGCTAAGGGAAGGGAGCCAACAGGAGAAGTGCTTTATCTATTAAATCTATCTGAGGTCAGGTCAGGCAGCAGACAGGAGTAGTATCCATTAAATGCAGCTAAGTAAAGGGTAGGTAGCAGACCAGAGAAGCATCCATTATATTGCCAAATGTATTAGGACACCCCCAAATCATTGGATTCAGGTGTTGCAGTCACCTTCATGGCCACAGATGTATAAAATCAAGCCCCTAGGCATGCAGACGGCTTCTACAAACATTTTGTAAAAGAATGGGTTGCTCTCAGGAGCTCAGTGAATTCAAGCATGGTCCCGTGATAGGTTGCCACCTGTGCAATAAGTCCATCCGTGAGATTTTCTGGCTACTAAATATTCCACGCTCAACTGTTAGTGGGATTATAACAAAGTGGAAGCCACTGGGAACAACAACAACTCAGCCATCAAGTGGTTGGCCACGTAAAATTAACGAGCGGTGTCAGCGCATGCTGAAGAGCATAGTGCACAGAAGTCATCAACTGTCCGCAGAGTCAATAGCTAAAGACCTCCAAACTTGGTGTGGCCTTCAGATGAGCACAACCGTGTGTAGAGAGCTTCATGGAATTGGTTTCCATGGCTGAGCAGCTGCATCCAAGCCTTACATCACCAAGTGCAGTGCAAAGTTTGGGGGAGGGGGTTTATGGTGTGGGGTTGTTTTTCAGGAGTTGGACTTGGCCCCCTAGTTCCAGTGAAGGGAACTCTTAAGGCGTTAACATACCAAGACATTTTGGACAATTTCATGGTCCCAACTTTGTGGGAAGAGTTTGGGGATGGCCCCTTCCTGTTCCAACATGACTGCCCACCAGTGCACAAAGCAAGGTACATAAAGACATAGATGAGTGAGTTTGGGGTGGAGGAACTTGACTGGCCTGCACAGAGTCCTGACCTCAACCCTATAGAACATCTTTGGGATGAATTAGAGTGGAGACTGTGAGCCAGGCCTCCTCCCCCGACATCAGTGCCTGACCTCACAAATGTGCTTCTGGAAGAATGGTCCAACCTTCCCATAGACACCCTCCTAAACCTTGTGGACGGCCTTCCCAGAAGAGTTGAAGCTGTTATAGCTGCAGAGGGCGGGGCCAACTCAGTATTGGACCCTACATACTGGGATGCAATTAAAGTTCATGTGCGTGTAAAGGCAGGCGTCCCAATACTTTTGGCAGTGTAGCTAAGTTCAGGGCAGGGAGCCAACAGAAGAAGTATCCGTTAAACCTATCTGAGGTCAGGGCAGGCAGCAGACAGGAGTAGTATCTATTAAATGTAGCTAATGCATGTATAGGCAGCAGACCAGAGACGTATCCTTTAAGCATAGCTAAGATCAAGGCAGGGAGCCAACCGGAGAAGTATTCATTAAACCAAGCTGAGGTCAGGGCAGGCAGCAGACAGGAGAAGTCTGCATTAAATGCAGCAAAGATCAGGGTAGGAAGCAGGCAGGAGAGGTATCGATAAAAATGTAATGAAGGTAAGGGCAGGCAGGCAGAAGTATCTATTAAATGTAGCAAAGGTACCTAACAAGAACAAACTGACAAAGATGCAGGCTCGCTGGGTCAAAGGAGGGTTCTTCCTGTGCCTGGTGATGGACAAGAGAACTTGGGAAGGTAAAGTGTATTGGCAAGTAAACACTGGGTGGAACTAGGAAGCTGCATCCAGTTTTCCAGCAACCGAAACGTTAGCCAAGAAGGAAGGAGGCTGTGCCGGGCCCTGGTGCCCACAAGTTGCTGCCGGGTGGAAAGACGCGGCGACCCATTGTATAGCAACCAGGATGCAGGCCGCCAAGAGCCAATGGCAAGGGATGCAGACGGGTAGGTTGCTTAAAGTTTCCTAGCTCCAATGGGTTTGGCCCCTTCCTCTTTCTCTAATTTTAAAGCCCAACTTCTTTTTGTTTTTTTTGTCTCTGATGGAGATATTCACCCTCACTTCCTGCCAGTATAGGAAGTGATGAGAAATTTCTCCATCGGGGAAATGTGTATTGTGCTTTAAGCAGAGCGTGTTACAATCGGTAATAATAATCTTTAATATTTTTTTGTAGAGATTTGAGAAGAAGTACTTTTCCGAGGTCTCTTCAGGATCGCCGAGTAAGGGAACCCAGTTTGAGTACGCCTGGTGTCTGATTCGCAGCAAGTACTCCGACGACATTCATAAAGGGGCGGGGCTTCTAGAAGGTGAGCAATAACCGAGACCTCAGGAAGAATCTTTATAAACATTGCATCACCAAGAGTCCAAGAGCTGCTGTGTACAATGGATACAGGCTAAAGGGATTGGCTATGAAGCCATCTGATAGATACTGGCACAGTATATGCAAATGTCAGTGCATTTGTTTTATGTTTTTATAAAAAGTTTTATACAGGAGAGACATTGCTGCCGTCCAGATAAAAGTTAAACTATACAGGAGTGACATCACCACTCTCCAGATATAAATTATATTATACAGGAGTGACATCACTGCTCTCCAGATATGTTTTGTATAATACAGGAGTGACATCACCACTCTCCAGATATGTTATATTATACAGGAGTGACATCACTCTTCTCCAGATATGTTATATTATACAGGAAGTAACATCACCACTCTCCAGATATGTTATATTATACAGGAAGTGACATCACCACTCTCCAGATATGTTATATTATACAGGAAGCGACATCACCACTCTCCAGATATGTTATATTATACAGGAAGTGACATCACCACTCTCCAGATATGTTATATTATACAGGAAGTGACATCACTCTTCTCCAGATATAAGCTACATTATTCAGGAAGCGACATCTCTTCTCCAGATATAAGCTACATTATACAGGAGTGACATCACCGCTCTCCAGATATGTTGTATAATACAGGAGTGACATCACTCTTCTCCAGATATAAGATGCATTATACAGGAGTGACATCACTCTTCTCCAGATATAAGCTACATTATACAGGAGTGACATCACCGCTCTCCAGATATGTTGTATAATACAGGAGTGACATCACTCTTCTCCAGATATAAGATGCATTATACAGGAGTGACATCACTCTTCTCCAGATATAAGCTACATTATACAGGAGTGACATCACTCTTCTCCAGATATAAGCTACATTATACAGGAGTGACATCACTCTTCTCCAGATATAAGATGCATTATACAGGAGTGACATCACTCTTCTCCAGATATAAGATGCATTATACAGGAGTGACATCACTCTTCTCCAGATATAAGCTACATTATACAGGAGTGACATCACCGCTCTCCAGATATGTTGTATAATACAGGAGTGACATCACTCTTCTCCAGATATGTTATACAGGAAGTGACATCACCGCCCTCCAGATATAAGCTACATTATACAGGAGTGACATCACCACTCTCCAGATATAAGATACATTATACGGGAGTGACATCACTCTTCTCCAGATATAAGATACATTATACAGGAGTGACATCCCTGCTCTCCAGATATATTATACAGAAGCGACATCACTGCTCTCCAGATATGTTGTATAATACAGGAGTGACATCACTCTTCTCCAGATATGTTATACAGGAAGTGACATCACCGCCCTCCAGATATAAGCTACATTATACAGGAGTGACATCACCACTCTCCAGATATAAGATACATTATACGGGAGTGACATCACCACTCTCCAGATATAAGATATACAGGAGTGACATCACCGCTCTCCAGATATAAGATACATTCTACGGGAGTGACATCACCGCTCTTCAGATATAAGATATATTATAAACGAGTAACATCACCATTTTCCAGATAGAAGTTATATTTATTCTATGTTTTTGCAGATCTTTTGACAAAAGCAAATAAAGATGAACAGCGGGATTATTTCTTCTATCTGGCTGTCGCCCATTACAGGTTAAAGGTGAGCCGGTGAAATTTTTACTACAAAAATCTTGATTCTGCTTTTGTTCTTTTTATTTTATTGTAATAGTTACTTGTATTTCTTTTTTAGTATTACTTTATTATTGTATTTTTTAAAAAAAATAAATATACTTTTACTGTATTTTATTTTTTATCATTTTTTTATATATATATATATATATATATATATATATATATATATATATATATATATATATATATATATATGACTTCTGTCTGTAAAGGTTCTCATTGATGACCAGGTCATGGTATATCTTGTAGTAGTAATAAGTGTCAGGAGCAGATCCCAAACACTTTATTTCCACACAGGTAGCACCCACAGTTTAACCCAATCACCATGGAGTGTGTCAAGACAGATGTTGATTGTTTAGGAACAGGATGGGAGGTGTGAAAGTTCCAAACACTGTGGAAAGGCAAATATTTCCCCATACCCTGAAGATTTTACAATTCACCTACAAGGTGTTTGCGCAACCATCAGCATTGTAAATCAAAGGATTGACACCCAGGATTTTGGAACTGGAAGGAGCTCCATGGTTTTCACACTTCCCATCCTCTTGGACAAACAACATCTGCCTTGACACATTTCATGGTGACAGAATAAGGTGTCTGCTACCTGTGCTGGAATTAAATGTTGGGCTATGTTCAAATTATTTGTTCGAATTGAAGACGTTGTACCTCGAGTAGTAGTTAGACACATTCACCTGACTTTTCTTTTAATATTGACAATATTCTGCTGCTCAGCCAAGCCACTTCTGCGGTTCTAATGAGTGTCAGGAATATACTGCAGTATTTCTACCCACACAGGTAGCACAGACACCCAAAACCAATCGCCATAGAATGTGTCAAGGCAGATGTTGATTGCCTATAAACAGAATTGGAGGTGTGAGTTCCATTCGCCATGGAAAGGAAGAAGCTCTCTCTACCCCAGTGATATGATGACACGCCTTTAGCCATGTGAATTGAAGGATTGACATCTATGCAGACTTCTGACATCGGGGTCATCAGTCAATCATTAGACCTGAAGACGTGGCTTGGAGAAGCTACAAAATGTCTTCAACATTACAGAACAAGTCCAGTTTAATGTGACCAACTACTACTAGATGTGTACCTACGTCCAGGACAGCCGTGCATGGTCATGTCTCAGAATATTCCTGCACACCGTCATTCTCTTGTCTAGGATTGGCCTGACCCATTCATTGAAAGAACACAGTATTTACACACTAGAGCAGGGGTGGACTGACCATTCGGGAACTCGGGCACTGCCCGAGGGCCCGGGGTCAGTGGGGGGGCCCCATGAGATGCCCCTGGTACCTTTCATAGGCTTTTTTGGGCGTGGTTTGAGTGTGGGCAAGGACACAGGGGTCCCATTGTCCACTCCTGCACTAGAGGCATACAATAGTAAAATTTAGATGATTGGTGTCAGCACCTGTGGTAGTGAGCTCTATTGATCCTCAACTTGGGGTTCCCCAGGGCGCGGAGTCTAAGCCCCAGCCTGCTTGTTCACCAGAGCCCCTGATGGTGGGGATGGACTTGCAGCAAGCTGGGACCAGGTTGCGGCCCCCAGGTAGACCCAGCTGAGGTGGAGGTGACCGCTCGCGGGAGCCGAGTATAATGGGAGAAGACAAAGGGAATCCAATAGGCAAGCCGAGGTCAGGATGGGCGGAAAACAAGCAAGGTCGGGAACGAAGCCGGGATCGGTACACAAGTAGACAATATAGGATTCACAGCAGAAACACATGGGAGCTCCAACAACTAAGACGTTGCTCAGGCAAAGTGGCCTAGTCTGAGCACATCTTATATAGACAGGCAGACAAGGAGGCGGGGCAGGAAGTGATGGAAGGGAAGGAAATAAAACCCAGAGGACAGCAGACGACGCCCATAGATGGGCACAGACAAACACATGAGAAGGGATCAGGAACAGGACTGCTGCAAGAAGGTAAGAACACAAACGAAACTGCAAGCTAACTTGTGACCATTAGGTTGGGTCCAAATCTTATGGGCCTTACTGGAAGGCGTGCGATGTGATTTGTGGCATGACCTTGTTTGTCCTTCACCTTCCAGGAATATGAGAAGGCTCTGAAGTACGTCCGCACCCTTCTCCATAAAGAACCCAACAACACGCAGGCCCTGGAGCTGGAGAAGATCATCGAGAAGAAGATGCAGAAAGGTGAGCAGGATGATGATACAGGGTGGGGGCAGGGATTTTTAATATTACAGGAATCTGAGCTGGCTTGATGATGGACCAGACCGAGGCGAGAAGTCACCTGGAGACTGGCAGTTGCTGCTAATCTAACTTCTGACCTCTGATCCTTCTGACCTCTGATCCTTCTGACCTCTGATCCTTCTGACCTCTGATCCTTCTGACCTCTGATCCTTCTGACCTCTGATCCTTCTGACCTCTGATCCTTCTGACCTCTGATCCTTCTGACCTCTGATCCTTCTGACCTCTGATCCTTCTGACCTCTGATCCTTCTGACCTCTGATCCTTCTGACCTCTGATCCTTCTGACCTCTGATCCTTCTGACCTCTGATCCTTCTGACCTGCGATCCTTCTGACCTGCGATCCTTCTGACCTGCGATCCTTCTGACCTGCGATCCTTCTGACCTGCGATCCTTCTGACCTGCGATCCTTCTGACCTGCGATCCTTCTGACCTGCGATCCTTCTGACCTGCGATCCTTCTGACCTGCGATCCTTCTGACCTGCGATCCTTCTGACCTGCGATCCTTCTGACCTCCGATCCTTCTGACCCTTCAGTCTTGCAGAGTTGTACAGGCTCCTCTCCTGGACTGAACAAAAATAGTGACAACCTCTCCAACCCATAACTAGACTTTGCAGGTGCATATGGAAGGGCAACACACTACACAAACAAAGATTTGCCAGCGTATAAAACAACCAGATTTTCTTGAACAATTCATGTTAAAACAGAGGGTTTCGTTGGCACACATTTGCAAATATGGAAGCTGCAGAGCCTACGTCAAGGCTCCTCTGTGTACTACGGTCCTAACTCTGTGATTTTCAGAGTCTCCCAAGTCGGAGCACCTATAGCGATGGATAGATTAAGGGCAGGCATGCCTTTAGGGAGGGGTGGGCTCTATCCAGACATATCCATCCACTGCTATGTGTGCTGCAGCTTAGGAGACTGAATATTATAGAGCTAGGACCACAGTACACAGAGGAGCCTTGACGTAGGCACTGCGGCTTCGACATTTAATTGCAAATGTGTGCAACAAAACCCTCTGATTTATTGTGAATTGTTAGACAGGGAAAATCTGGTTGCTTTGCAGGCTGGCTGGTAAGTGTGCTGGAAAATCTTGTTTGTGATATCCTCTCCTGGACTGAAATGGTTTACTCTGCATCCACTGCACAGTGTGAGCTTCTCAGTGTACATTAGAAGCTGCAGCAAGAGTCCACCTCATTTCCTGGCTGGAGGACATCCAGCATCATCTAGCTCAGGTGTCTCCAAACTACAGCCTGCTGGTCATGTTTGGCTCTGTACAAGATTTTATTCAGCCTGCAGCTAGGGTCTGTGTTGTATCTTGACTGTGCATTGATTGAGGTTTAAGGTCAGCTGTGGCTGCTTATGGTCTGCTTTTCTGATGTAAGGGGGTCACTGATGTACAAGGGTACCCTGATTGGGACCCTGATGTAAGGGGAGATTCTGATTGGGACCCTGATGTAAGGGGAGATTCTGATTGGGACCCTGATGTAAGGGGAGATTCTGATTGGGACCCTGATGTAAGGGGAGATTCTGATTGGGGCCCTGATGTAAGGACAGATTCTGATTGGGACCCTGATGAAAAGACAGATTCCAACTAGGACACTGATGTAAGGGGACATTCTGACTGGGAACCCTGATGTGAGGGGACATTCTGACTGGGAACCCTGATGTGAGGGGACATTCTGACTGGGAACCCTGATGTGAGGGGACATTCTGACTGGGAACCCTGATGTGAGGGGACATTCTGACTGGGAACCCTGATGTGAGGGGACATTCTGACTGGGAACCCTGATGTGAGGGGACATTCTGACTGGGAACCCTGATGTGAGGGGACATTCTGACTGGGAACCCTGATGTAAGTGGGACTTTGAAGGAAACTTTAATGTAAAGACGTCTGACAGGTTTTTGTTTTTTTTTTTGGTAACCTGATGTAAGGAGGGACTCTCATGGGGACTCTGATGTAAGGGAAGAGTGTGATGGGGACTCTGATAGTAAGAGGAGAGTCTGACTGGGTCCCTGATGGTAAGGGGGTACTCTGATTGGGACCCTGATGGTAAGGGGGTTCTCTGATTGGGACCCTGATGGTAAGGGGGTTCTCTGATTGGGACCCTGATGGTAAGGGGGTTCTCTGATTGGGACCCTGATGGTAAGGGGGTTCTCTGATTGGGACCCTGATGGTAAGGGGGTACTCTGATTGGGTCCCTGATGGTAAGGGGGTACTCTGATTGGGACCCTGATGGTAAGGGGGTACTCTGATTGGGTCCCTGATGGTAAGGGGGTACTCTGATTGGGACCCTGATGGTAAGGGGGTTCTCTGATTGGGACCCTGATGGTAAGGGGGTTCTCTGATTGGGACCCTGATGGTAAGGGGTTTCTCTGATTGGGACCCTGATGGTAAGGGGTTTCTCTGATTGGGACCCTGATGGTAAGGGGTTTTTCTGATTGGGACCCTGATGGTAAGGGGTTTCTCTGATTGGGACCCTGATGGTAAGGGGGTACTCTGATTGGGACCCTGATGGTAAGGGGGTACTCTGATTGGGACCCTGATGGTAAGGGGGTACTCTGATTGGGACCCTGATGGTAAGGGGGTACTCTGATTGGGACCCTGATGGTAAGGGGGTACTCTGATTGGGACCCTGATGGTAAGGGGGTACTCCTTGTAAGGAGGTACTCTGATAGAGACCCTTATGTAAGGGGGGAGTTTGAAAGAAACTCTGTGAGGATGTCTCTGACCATTTTTTTTTTTTTTTTTTTTTTTTTTTTTGGGGACCCTGATGTAAGGGGAGATTCTAATGGGGACCCTGATGTAAGGAGGGACTCTAATGGGGACCCTGATGTAAGGAGGGACTCTCATGGGGACTCTGATGTAAGGGAAGAGCGTGATGGGGACTCTGATGTAAGGGGAGAGCCTGGTTATTAAGACCCTGATGTAAGGGGGTACTCTGATAGAGATCCTTATGTAAGGGGGACTTTGAAAGAAACTCTAATGTAAGGAGGACTCTGATGGTCCCCCCCCCCCCCAGTATATTTTTAGAATATATTGTACAATGTGGCTCTCTTATTGAAAAGTTTGGAAACCCCTGTTCCAGCCCTTTCCTCCCCAGCCTGATCCCCCTGTTCCAGCCCTTGCCTCCCCAGCCTGATCCCCCTGTTCCAGCCCTTTCCTCCCCAGCCTGATCCCCCTGTTCCAGCCCTTTCCTCCCCAGCCTGATCCCCCTGATCCAGCCCTTTCCTCCCCAGCCTGATCCCCCTGATCTAGCCCTTTCCTCCCCAGCCTGATCCCCCTGATCTAGCTCTTTCCTCCCCAGCCTGATCCCCCTGATCTAGCCCTTTCCTCCCCAGCCTGATCCCCCTGATCTAGCCCTTTCCTCCCCTGCCTGATCCCCCTGTAATGAAAACAGGTTAAATGTAAAAATATAATTAGCATGTAGATGGAATAAAGAAAAGAAAAAAATAAGTAAATAAGACTACAACTTTAAATTCTCCCATCCCCAGCAGCTCATACTCGCCTGTTCTTTGCTGTAAGCAGTAGAGTAAATGTATTGGTGCCTCTGGGGATGGAGGATGCATGTGTCTGCCTTCATGTGACAGTGCTGGGACAGCCATCAAACATAAGTGCTGTCACATGTACGGAGTCAATAGCCAATGTAGGCTAAGATTAAACTGAAGAAAAAGTAGAATATACACCGCAGGGAGAATAAAGTGAACCTGTATGAACAGAGCTCAGGTTTTCCCTTACATGTATGAAATCCCAAACAATAATCTACTTATTTGCTCCTTTTTGGTCTGTTTAAAGTACCACTGAAAGGGTTTTGTTAGATTTGATCCAGAAGTGCAAAAACATCTCATTGATCCAATTAGCAATTGCGCTGTCCTGTGCACACTTTCTGTGTTACCTGAAGGAGTCCTCCCAGTTCTAAACTTGGACTACAAAACACCTCCCCTCCATGTTGGTGAAGATGAGGAGAAGGAGAGGGATTCGGTAGTTTATCAAAAGATAACTGAGCAGGGCTGACACTGTTTTTTGTTTTTTTTTAGTCTATAAAACGCTGTCAGCCTCCAACAAGATGTTAGGAGCCAAGAGCATTTCTGGCAGATGAAGGGGTGTCTGTACTGTAGGGATGGTGATCTTGGGGTCATAGTCAGAATTTTTTTTCCTCCAAACACGGCGAGTCAAGTTAATGTCAAAGAGCTCAATTTTGGTCTCATCTGACCCCAGCACGTTCTCCTAATCCTTCCCTGATTTATTTAGATGTTCATTGGCAAACTTCAGACGGGCCTGTACATGTGCCTTGTTGAGGAGAGGGACCTTGCGGGTGCTGCAGGATTTCAATCCATGGCAGCGTATTGTGTTACCAATGGTTTGTTTGGTCACTGTGGTCCCAACTGCCTTGAGATCATTCACAAGCTCCTCCGTGTAGTAGTGGGCTGATCCCTCACTTTTCTCATGATCATCCTTACCCCATGAGGCGAAACCATGTATGGAGCTCCAGGCCGAGGGCGATTGATGGTTATGTATTTTTTCCAATTGAGAATAATCGCTCCAACAGTTCTCTCCTTCTCACCAAGCTTCTTGCTGATGATCTTGTAGCCCATTCCAACCTTGTGCAGGTCTACTTTCTGGTCCCTGACGTTCTTTGACAGCTCTTTGGTCTTGCCCATGATGATGAGGTTTGAATGGAAGAAAGATTTTGTGGACAGGTGTCTGTTTATACTCATAATGAGTTGTTGTTATTAAATTGCCAGGACCAATCTGTGTACCACATGAGCACATAGCCAGTCTGTAGGAGCCAGAATCATTGCTGGTTGGTAGGGGATCAAATACTTATTTTACTCACTGAACTGCAACTCCATTTATAACATTTGTATCGTGTATTTTCTGGATTTTTTTGTTGATATTCTGTCTCCACCATCTAAAATACACCTAGGAAACAAATTGTAGACCCTTCCTTTATCTGTAAGTGGGCAAATTTCCAAAATGTGCAAATAATTGTGTGTGTGTTTGTGTATAGATATAGATATATATATATATATAAATATATATATATATAATTTTTATTATTATACATTATATAGTATAGATTATTATATATTAATATTATTATACAGGATTTATATATTATTATTATTCTACAGGATTTATATATTATTATTATTATTATTATTATTATACAGGATTTATATATTATTATACAGGATTTATATATTATTATTATTATACAGGATTTATATATTATTATTATTATTATTATACAGGATTTATATATTATTATACAGGATTTATATATTATTATTATACAGGATTTATATATTATTATTATACAGGATTTATATATTATTATTATACAGGATTTATATATTATTATTATACAGGATTTTATATATTATTATTATTATTATTATTATTATACAGGATTTATATATTATTATTATTATTATACAGGATTTATATATTATTATTATTATACAGGATTTATATATTATTATTATACAGGATTTATATATTATTATTATACGGGATTTATATATTATTATACAGGATTTATATATATTATTATTATTATTATTATTATTATTATTATAATACAGGATTTATATATTATTATACAGGATTTATATATTATTATTATTATTATTATACAGGATTTATATATCATTATTATTATTATTATTATACAGGATTTATATATCATTATTATTATACAGGACTTATATAGCACCAACAGTTTGCTCAGCGCTTTACAATATAACGGGAGACAATACAGCAACAATACAGTTCAATACAGGAGGGATATGAGGGCCTGATCCAGGGAGCTTGCAATCTAGGAGAATTAATATATATTAATATATATATATATATATATATATATATATATATATATATATATATATATATATATATAGGTTAATACAGGCATTTTAA